TCTGTGTTTTCAAGAATATATGCTTAATCTAAGACTAAGACTGTATAAAAGAGGCAAAGTCTCAGTAGAAAATAGGTAAGCTGATGAAAGGAGAGAGGGAGGTGGGACCAATAGGTTTAGGGGTTAGATCCCGTGTTGGTAGAGTGGACAGGAAAGACTTAGGGCCTTGGGAAGGCTGGTGCTGTGTAGGAGTTGGAAGAAGGTAGATCACCAGGATGCCAAGTCAGGCTAAAAGGCAGAAAGCAAGAGCCCAACTACTGTAAACTAGAACTACTATTGGCTCACTGGTATCAGCCTTTCTCTCATTGGGAATAACTGGGTCTTTGTATAGGACAACTGAGGCGGGACTGGCATAGAATAGGGAGAATCCTGACTGTTAAGGGTCATAGCCATGACCACTTCCCAGCTACTTCAGGAAGAGAGCAGCAGATTGCCATTCCAGAGGGCTAAACTCAGACCAGAGGTGCAGGTCTCTGTTGCTGGTTTTTGACTCTCTGGTCATTATCTATTTGCAAAACATTTTGAAACTAACTTTGATTATTTTCAGTGTTTTTCCCTTTTTAAAATAGATTTCCTAAATCTGAAGAGTAATTGCTCAAGGATGACCTTAACTAATTCTACAAATCAGTCTTGTCCAGTAGTAAATCCCATCACGCTAATAAATCTGGAAAAGATGTGCACCCATCCTGCCCTTGTCTCTGCTCTTGGGCTTCTTATTCTTCACTTCTCTAAGGTTTCATTTTAGTCCAAGTTTGTCCCCTGACTAAAGTGCTACTCATTCTTCAGTTTTTATTTCCACCCACACTTCTAAACTACCTACCCTGCCTCAACTCACCAGAATTGAGTAAGCTTATCCTTGTTGAAAAATATACCCCCTCTTTACACTGCCATGTGAATGCTGCATTGGCTAAAATTCATTGCCCATGAAGCCTCAGGATCTCCAGTAGTGACCATAATATCCTTTTCTGAGCTGGCTTGTGATTTGTCCTTGATATTGGTAAGGAGTTCAGGCGATATCTACTTTTGAGAGTAACTCAGTCAGATCTCCTTTGGGTTCAGCTTCCTCATCAGAAGTTTTGGTTCTTTGGGCAGGTATGGACTCCCATGTGTCTTCAATCTTCTAAACAAGATCCAGTGCATATTCAGGATTTCACTGTTGTATGAATGCCTTGGGTGATTTCTTATGGACATGCTCCTTAAATCTAAATCTCAACTGTTAATATGTAATTTTATAAGTTTAAAAGCAGGTCTATAATAACACAAAACCTGATTTAGACATCATTTAGTATCATGTCTAAATCATGGTAAAAATTTTATCCTAATCATCTTAGTATGGGCATATTCTTCTTAGAGAAAAGCTCTCTCCCTTAAAGAAGCTAAGCAAACAAAGAGTTTTAATAACCATGGTGGAATCACAAACCAGAGATTTAAAAATAAAAGCTGGGACTAGCCAGGCGTGGCGGCTCACGCCTGTAATCCCAGCACTCGGGAGGCTGAGGCAGGAGGATTGCTGTGAGTTCGAGACCAGCCTAGGCTACAAAGTGAGCTCAAGGCCAGCCTGAACTGCACAGCTAGACCTTGTCTCAAAAAGACAAAAAAAAAAAAAAAAAAAAAAAAAAAAAAAACCACCAAAAATAAAAGCTGGATTTATTCATAATCAGCAACTGAAGTGTAATGATCCTGAATTTGGGAGAATAATTCTGACTCTGCTAATAGTTTCTTACAGAATTATAAGACTGTAATTCAGGAGAAACTCTGTGGTTTTCATTTCTTACTCTTTACCACTTGTGTCTCTCTAAGATACTTCAAAGACAACTTGTGTGTCAGATGCTCCCTTGCACACTCTGTAGATGTTTTCCCTAAGAAAACATAGCTTTAAACTGCAGCCTGTTCTTCCTTTGTGGTTCTTCTAAGGTTGTCTCTGTGGAATTCAATGAAGCTACTTTAAGTGCGTGTAGGGCAATTGACTTAAGGGTATGATACTTAAAAGCACATTTCCTGTGTGTGCACAAATGTGGCCACATACTCTGCAAGACGTGGAATAAAAGGACTTGTGAATGTCTCCCACCTCGACCTATTTTAACCAAACTTTATTGTTGATTTAATGGAACTGTAACAAAGAGTAGGAATCAAAACACATGGGGATCACAGAGGCTGTTATGTTTATTGTGCAGAACAGACAGTGATAATCCACTAGAGAAATATTTTCAACAAGCAAGCGATTCAAAGTACAATCATAGACAGCAATTCTACATGAAGAACAAAGAATAAAGTTAGAAGACACTCAAAGGATCAGGGAGAAAGTCAACTGCAGTTACACGTCTTGATACTTTTCTCCTGCAAACATACCTAACTTGCAGAAATGGTAGAAAAGTTAAATGTCCAGTCTTACTTAGCTGCGACCAACAACAGCAAAGAACAGTCCTATAAAATTTATCTCCCACAAAAATAAACTATATATATAAAATTTTATGATGTTCTTACTGTTCCATTGGCCACAAGCTTTTTTTTTTTCAGTATGAAAAATGAGGTATACTGGGACTTAAGAGGTAGTAGTGTGTTTTGATTGTACAACGTACAGGAAGTAAGAGAGTAACTTCATCAGAGATGGAAAATGCTCAGTGCTTGGAGTTTGGCCAACGTGAGCAACTGCTTCAGTTTTATGAGCTGGCCAATGAGGTTTCTAAAAGGCCCATCCAAAGATATGGAATGGGACTTTCATTTTTATGAGCCACTGTTTATTTGCTTATTTAATGCACAGTTAACAGTCATGTTGAGTTTTAATTCTCTCCACAGCTCCTTTGGTGATTCACAACAGTGAGCGACCTGCCAGTCTCAGAGAGGTATATGGCCTTTGAAATTACCTCCCTGAAGCGGCTGGAAGAGAGATGGTTTTGAGTTTCATTTGGCTTCAGTACTAAAAGTCATACTGACACAAGCCGTCGTGAGAAACTACCTCCTGGCCCAGTGGATAATACCATGTTAAAAAGTCAGCACACTCACTAGGAGAGAAAGGCATAAAATACTCTACATAAGAAGTGTTCAAAATAAATCTGGCTGAGACATATTACAAAAATCACATTTGTGTAAAATACATGAAAATATCTGTCAAGCATTTTCTTATATTCAACTAATCTTTAAAAAAGCACATATTTTGATTGCATTAGGCAAAAGTTGACCTTGCTGCATCTCACCTACAAAGCTTCAAGTTTCTTTGAAGGTTGGCTTCATTTTATTTGCTTACTTATTTTTGCAAAAGTATGTAAAAATGTGTTCCTTTCTATTAAATGCCTTACAAAAATAGTTTTGCTTAGGGATAGCTGCAGTTTGAACCATTTCAAACACTGGAGAAAAAAATGAACGCTGCAAATAACAAGTTCATTCCTTTTGAAGTCTGGAGGTAGGTCTTTGCAAGTCAATTAGTCTATTTCCTTAAACATTTCATTTGAGGTACAGACATGGAGGGTAACTAAACATTACAGTCAAATTGCGTGTATGTGTGTGTGTGTGTGTGTGTGTGTGTGTGTGCACATGGTGTATAGTGTGAGTAAAGAAAATTATCCTTAGAACCTAGGAGCCACTGATTAAAAAAATGTTCAAGTTAATGTAGAAATCTAGCAGAGAAGCTGAAACAAGTATTTGTAAAATTTTAATTAAAAAAATCATAGAAAAATACATAGCCATGCTGAAACAGAATAAGGAGTTTGTTTCTTTAACTGTAATGAAGTGTACAAAAAACAATTGCAGATGACTGGAATCACCTACCCAGTAAGTTTTTTTTTTCTTGCATTGCTTGTGTATAGCAGCATGTAATAAGTACAAGACTGTAAATTCATTGTAACATTCAGAGGTAGTATTGAGTAGTGGGAATATTGCATCTCTGGCTAAAAGTGCAGTTTGAATGAAGAGATGGTGAACGGAAACTAAAGTAAAGCACCTCGGTCAACCATCTTATGTCAAGATGTATTACTTGAAGTAACACATAGGCTTAATTTGAGGTAAGTGGTATTTAGGTCTTTCACCAAAACTGATACACAATGGATAGAGGGGGAAGAGAGAGAGAGAGATACAAAGAGACAGACTGCTTTTTAAATTGTCATTTAGCTATAGCAAAGAAGTTTTAGATTTCACTCCTCCCCACCTCATCTTTCAGGTGAGTTTATCATGCATTATTCTGTTGTACCTTTTCACTAAATTACAGAGAAGATCTTGAACTTGTCTAGGTTCCTTAAAGGCTTTGAGGCTGACAAGTGTTACTTATCGCTAAAGGACGTTTTGACTCTGTAGGAAGCAAACTTTCAGAAAACAAAGTGTTGTCCTGAAAAACAGAGTGGTGTGAGTAAATTTATCACTCCTGCCGATATGTGTGATATTCATAAATACAGGAGTAGGCAACAGTCATTTGCTTACTTCCCTTTTTGAAAAATGAACCTAACCTTTTTCTGGTTTGCTAAAGTGAATGAAAGGATACATCAGCATTTCGTCTCATTTAGAAAAAAAAAAAAAAAAAAAAAAAAGTTAAAAATCATCAAGTAAGTGTCTAAGAGATTATACGAAAAAGGAGAGAATAGTATCTAGTCCTTATCTTTGGTGTTCTAAACAGAGGGGTTCACTACTGTGAGCTGGGGTGGGGGTGGCGTCTGAGACCCACGCGATGTCACACACCGCGCGTTTCGTGTTTCCTATATGAATGCCCCGCGTCACCAGCGTGGCGCGTTTCTTGTCAAATGCAGTGCAGTGATTGACTAAACCCAACAACTCAGAATCTTTCTCACCCACCCAACTCTTGCTTATCAGATCAACAAACTATTAGTAGGTTAAGGGAAAAAAAAGTCATTAAAAGTTGCATTGTTAAACTGTGTCCCCTGTGTTTACAGCAGTTTTTCACTAAACCTGGGACTGTGAAGGGATTACAAAGAAAGTGATTAATATAGTCCTTTTTAAGGTTATGTGATGTCGCCCCGCCCCACCCCCGCCCCCACCCGCTCCACCCGCCCTGCCCCGCGGAAAGTGGAAAGACCATGGCCAAAAAGAGCAAGTTAAGTGGTCACTGCAGTGTCTTCTCCCTTCGAAAGATTCAACTGCTGCTGAGGTAGAAATCCAACGCGGGCGCCCCCTAATCCTCCTCGGCGGACTCTTGTGAGGATGTCTCTTCAGTCTCCTCCTGTAACACACAAAGGACACGCGTGTCATAAGTGGACCTTGGGCTGCGCTGGGCTGCAGGAGTGCAAGAGCACACAGGCGACCCGCTCCACAGCAGATGAGGCTGGCTTCGGAACAGGGCCATTGTTATTGGCCAGCCCTCATTCCCAGGGCTTCTTCCTCTGCAACTGAGGAATCAAGGTGTTGTTTTTTCCCAGAGCCCTCATTAGCCACTGTTGATTTAACGCTTAAAATCCTGGAAGCTGGTCAGCAAATTCAATTGTTTGCCTTCCAAAGAATGTCAGGCCAATGTAAGTCTACTCACCCAAGTAGAGTAAAAAAGAAATGGGTAAATTTTTCCTGACAGCATGCCAGTCATCAGTTTTAAAATCTGGCGTGCAGGTACAAAAAACAGTTAAGAGAATCTTTTCTTGAGGACTAACCCATTCTCCAGATACTGGTCATAAAAGCTGATATTTTTAGAATGCTTATTAGATGCCTTTAGGTACTGGAGAAAAACCAAGGCACTAAAAAGGCTGGCCCCAGGGTTACAGTTCAAGCAGGGCCAGGTTTGGACCAGGTCAGACGGCTATGAGGTCCCACATGTGACTACTAAGCCCTGTGCAGAAGTCGGAGGACAGCACCAGTGGATTTGGAGCAGGAGCCCAGAGAAGACTGCAAAGTTCCTTTCCAAGGCCATTCCTTGTTCTTGTATTTATTAAAGCATATTTTGAGACAATGACCAAAGTTTGGCATAACTGTTGAATCCCAACACTAAATCCATCCAGTTCAGCCAAATATTTAATGGTGGGCCAGCCAAGCAGAGAAAATCTAATATATATGTTTTTGCAGGGCCTCTTCTTCACATAAACCTAACTCCTCTTTCTCTTTCCCTTTTTCTGATTCCTTATGGCTCTGGAATTTGTTGGGGTTTCTGCAAACCAGCCTGTGCTTCAAAGTCCTCCTTCCTTTTGCTTATTTAACAAATGTGCTGTACCTTTCAGGACATGGGTGGTAAAACGGAGACAATAAACATTTCTGATAAAAGTATCGTTAGCGAGAGGATGATTTTTATCAAACGCTGCACATTGTCTCCTAGCATGGCATGTGAAAAAGATCTAGGAGAAGAGGTAAACATTTACTCCCGCAGCAAACCAAGCCCCTTAAAGAATGGCCAGCTTAAAACAGCTTATAACAACCTTCATACTTTAATAGATTTGATTTTCCACATGGCTTCATTTTGTCTGGGTGGCTAGCTGACACAATTTATATCTCTCTTCCTTTCCCAGGTCACTACAGTACACCATTCAGTAAAGCAGGCCTTAGAGCTTGTCTGCATTATATGAGCAAACTTCCATTCATTAGTGTCTGAAACACTTCGGCTGTGAAGGGGCTCCTAAATGCTACCATGTGTGACGCTTTTGCGTAAAAGCAGCAAATGGCAGGAAAACGGCCCCCATGAACCGGCATTCACATGACTGTGCACACACACATGCACACGCACACACAAAACGTAGCCTGGGCTTTAATCACAGGCCACCACTTATTGCAAACCTTTTGCAAAAGGTTTCAAACATCCTCTTTCCCCCCCGAAGACCCAGAGAGCTGTAAATCCTGGGAATAAACATACATACAAATGAATGGATTACAGCTTAAAAAATATAACCACAGCAGCATCAAGTCATGAGATTTCACACTGGTTTTATTTAGTCTGCTCTGGGTTTAGTGGGAAATGTGGAAAGTATGAAGCTACCTCCCCTTTCCTCCCAGCCCCCAAATGCGGGCTTCACATATTTAAGCAGCAGGTTTATACCTCTTGACGAGGCAACAGGCCATGACCTTGAGATTCTCTGTGGAGTCCTGGTCACAAAGGAGGATGTAGCATGATCAAAGCCATGGACAGACGAAAGCGAGACAAGCCAAGGATCAGTTGCCCTATGACCTTGTCTTTTCACTTAATATTTAAATTCCAGAAAGTCACTAAGCTGTTGGGCAGATATACTCTTTGTCTGCTCCCAAAGGACTCACTTCTCATTATGACATGAAGTGTGGACTTACGTTACTGCTCTGAGACAGACCACAGTATAGAAGCTGGGAGGAATATTTTATTTTGCTTTCTCACAGTTAACAAATTAATTGAACCAGTCAAGCTGGAAAACCTCCTGGACCAAGCTGTAATTATTGTATCTCTAAATGCTTGATTTTCCTCTACTATCTGAAGACCAATGTGCTTCAAAATCTGGAAAAAATAGAATTTGCAGGCCATGAACTTACAAAGACCTTGATTAGATAGAATGTGATCAGTGTTTCAAAACATTCCCAGACACTTTGCTTGATTCGAGCTCCTGAAACTCTGATAGTCAGACCCCTTAGACACAACTCAGGCGAAAATGATCCTTCATATTGTTTCCTTTACTTAATAATACTTCTTAACACAACATGGGAAACTGTTTTATTTATGTTTCTTTCCCCTGACCTTGAAATTCTTCTGCAAGTATTTATCAATTAGTAGTGGGAATATGACCAGGTGGTCAGAGTGGGAAGCTTTACTCCATTAAACTTAACAACAAGGTGGGCTTTCATATGCTCACCACTACGGTATTCGCAAATGTCAGAGGCCTTCTCTCTTCTTGGCATAGTCTTCCCTTGGGAGGAAGACATAGTTGCAAACAGATAATGCTACCGGGGTTACTGGTACTTCTCTCCTCTGCAAACTTCAGGTCTCACTTCTCCAGGGACCTGGTCATTTGTGACATGCATGGCTGCTATCTCATGGGTATATACAGGAAAATGAATGATCCTCTCTGTTGGGAACAAGATGAAGCTCCACAGTCCTATGTGTCACAGTCAGATTAGACTTCACCCAGGACACTTTTGCAATGCCAACAGTGGACAGAAACAAGAGATATGGAGAGTAAGCAAATGAATATGCTGTCTCCGAAGAATCTTATTTCCCCCAACAAAGTAGTTGGTGGGAAATCTTCAGCTTCTATCTTATGATCCTCTTTAGTAATTTAGAAGACATGGTGATGTATTATAGACAATAGCTTGGACTCCAGTAGTTTTTTTAAAGAACTGCTTTACATTTGCAAAATTCTGCCAAAAGACCTTTGAGTGAAGTAGCTTCTCAATGGTGGCCTTGAAGTACTTAGGAGACTGAAATATTGTGGCCACGAATTACACCATCTCATCAGGAACTGGTTGATGGGGTGGGAGAGCAGAGCAGCAGCTTTCTGGTGCTACCTTGGGAATGGGGCTTCAGGAATGTCAAGATAAAAGGATTTTGCAGAGCGGAAGTACACAGTGACATTTTTATGAGCACCAGCCACTAAAACCTATAAATAGTGAACAGCTTCTAGCCATTGATGCAGCTGCTTTACCAAGACAACTGAGGCTGCACTACACTAGGGGGGAAACCTGTGTGATTTTATAAGAAAACTGATAAGAGGGGGAAAGACAATGGAAAAAGTTGGAGAGCCATATTTTTTTTAAACTCTTGGAAAATCAACCTGATTTTACCTTAATTTTTCTTTGTTTGTGGAAAAAGAAATTTAATAAATGTACCTCTTTCATTGCTTTGACCAAACCTGAAAAAAATCAACACTAAAAACCCAGAAATATAGTTTACATATATTATCATTCTTTCAAATTGGTTCAGTGCAGTGGATGTGGTACTTCAGCTAAACGATTTAAAAGGGGAAATAAGACAGCCTAGTATCCATCTTTGATTCTTAGTGCTTGATAGAAGCTTAAAATGTCTTGAGTTTCATCATGGATCTTACCACACAGGCATGGCGAGGGTGCACAATGGAAGAAAGTTCAATATTTAAGGCTGAGCGCTGAAGCTCTGGGTTTAATTTTCAAATGCAGACTAAACAGCAAGTCTGTAGTGGAAGAGAGGCCAGTAAATTCTAAATGGAACCAGGAAGTGGAAATGCTCTTCCTGCAAACTTTAAGGGTTTTGTCACTATGATGCCCCTCTTTGTAGTGTGGTAAGGACTGCAAAATCACAGAAGTTCATGTCAGTTTCTGGATGTCTTTGGGTTTTTTAATTGCAAAGGATTCTGCAACTTTTTTTCAAATCATATGATACTGCAGGGTAGAAATACATTTGTAATTTAAGCTATTGTTCCAATAAACCTACAAATATCTGGTAATCAAGAGAGGATAGTTAAAGATGAATGACTTTATTTTGGTCATTTTAATATGTTCAACATTTTAGGTCTTAGAAGGACATGCTTATGAGTTTATTGTGTTTGTGACTACCTCAAATCAGTCTGGGCAGAACAGAAATAAAGTGATCCTCTCCTCAGCAGGAATGACCAGGAACCAATCTTTCAAGTTCCATCTATAGCTAAGAGACCCACAAAAGCTTGAAGTCAAGTTTTCTATTTTTCTGTCAGATATTTTAATTTAAAATGGATTGGGGCTGTTTAACTTCATGGAAAGTGATTATTTCCTCCAACTAGGAAAACTTTATAGCAGATTTAAAAAACATGTTGAATGGAACGTATGTAAACCATATAATCTGGCAAGTACAAGGGATTCTGATGGAAATGCTAGGGGGTGGGGAATATGTTTTTCAAAAGGAGACTTAAGAATTTGGGATATTTGCAGCATTTGTACTAATTTATTCTTCCTTTTAACAGTATGCACAGAACACGATACAGGCATTGGAGCCACATCACTTCTGCTGCCACCTACTTTCTAAAAGTTGGTTTAAGGTCTTGCAGGGACATGTTTCATATAAAGAAGACTGATTTTAGATATCACTGACACACGTGCCTGTTGTAGCACTAAGGGTTTGTGTAACCAGGACCTTATTCCCACCTTGTCAGACCAGTAATGGTCTAGCTGCACTGTCAGACTGTGAGAGAAAGAATATAATAATCACACAGGAAACCTTTAAAAATGAAGAAAAATCTTTTAGGACTAGTGCGAAATAGTGATTATTAGTTCTAATTATCCAATTCTGTGTTCACTTCTTTACGTGTGATTCAACAATAGTCTTAAGAATGAGAT